CATCTAAGCCAGAATAAAGTTACCCTGACAAACAACATGCAAAATTCACATTAACTGAACATTTACTTAATAGTAAATTTAACCCAAAGCATCACAGAAAACAAGAGCAAAGAAATTAAAATGCAAAATATCTCGGCAAACACTAGCTTATCTAGCCACAATACGAAAGCATATGGTGCATAATGGCTTCACTAACATTACCCAAAAACCAAATGGATTCTTGAAAAAAAATTGTACTTTGTCTTTTACCAGAAGTCAGTTTTCTTTTTTGCCTAAAGAATTATCAGAGAGCATGAAAATTATATTTATTCCAAATGAACACAGATATTCAGCAAAATAACTTACGGAAATTAAATATGAATTTGTCCATCTAACATGCTATTTCTTTTTTGTCTTGCTTCAAAGTTCAATTCATGTTTAATGATGTTGGCGACAATGTTTTGAATAATTAGAAATCTCTGATAAAGCATAGAAGTTGCTCCCAGTAAAAAGACAAACCATACAATTTTTAAAGTCAACCCCAAACTTTATAACCTAGTTCACCCTTACTCTGCTGGAATCCCCAGTCTTCTGCTTCATCTTCATCCCAGTCAAACATCTTCCTGCTGGGGACAGTGGAAGAGGATGCAGATCCTGCTGCTTCCAATCTCTCTTCCTTCTCCTCTTCCAGTTTTACGATATTTTCCTTCTCCTCCTCCTCCTCCTCCCCACTTCTCCACACCTACCTCCTCCTCCCCCTCCTCCTCCTCCACCTGCTCAAGTTCATTTTCATCTTTGCAAATATCAACCTTTTCTGTGGCAGAGGCCATTATGGTATTATCATCCCCAGTAATATTTTCACTGCTTCCCCAGTCATCTTCGTCCGGGTTAGAAAATGCATCAACTTCTTCACGAAGCTCTTGACCAACATCCTTTGTGATGTCATCATCAACTAAAAATGAGTCAAATTTGTAAAAATCATATTACTGAAACATAAAGCAATAATCACATGGGTCTGGATATGTTAACACAGCCACAGCAAACATATCACAAATTGAGCTAAATAAAAAGACAATTTGTAAAAAGAATTAAGAGTTAATTCCAAAGCTCAACAACTTTAACACAACAATGTATCTAGATGGGATAAGGCCTCTTGAAGATACATTCAACTGTACTTGTTACACCAACTCATCCCATATCATACATACAAACTTTTAGACATTCAATATAACTCAATACATACACAAAAAGCACAAGATTAATTATGCACAATCTGAAAAATAATCAAAAAGTTACAGATGCCACCCTGCTACACAATCTACAGAGACTGTAATAAAAAAAAATATTTAAAATAATTGATTCTAAGATTTTAGTCCTGTCTTAAAGAAGATATGAAAATAAACAGAAGACTGACACTATAATCGCATTATTGTGCATAATAACCTTAACGATAACATAACTATTCATCCAAACAATGCTGAAAGGCTGTCAATTCTTCCTCACTATGTTAAAGTGATAATCAAAAGTTTGTTAATTACTATTGTTAATTTACTCTGCTGACATGTTAACCCACTAACGACAGGTGTCCCACATATGAGACACCCAAAAAAATAAACATTGCTGGGCGTCCCGCCAGTGTGACGCTATATTGGGCCGGCGGGCGGACAGACTCCGGGGAAGCTCCGCCCACTGATTCTGTAGCTGCTCGGAATCTTTTATTTTCGGCTTCAAAATACACCGGCGTTAATGGGTTAAATGACAAGTGAGATCTATTTCAGGAATCTTTATAATTTTAATTTACAATATTTACCTTCCCTTGTCTCTATTTTGCTACTAATAATTTTACCAATATATATGTAAAAAAACATTGAGGGCAGCTATATTAGCAACCTGATTTATTAGTTAATTTCTGTGAGATCCACAGCAATCCTTGCTAACATTATACAAAACACAATAAAAAAGAAAGCCGTGTTACAAGTTCTACTTATGACATAAGGAGGAAGAGAATGAATCTGAATGAGTACCATTTCCTTCAAAAGACCTTTGAGTACACAATGGAAAAAATCAATTCACTTGTTAAAATCTTCATCATGATCTGCCTTTTTGAAAATAACCTCAGCTGCAGTAGCAGCTAAACAGAAGCAGGTTATATTTCATATATTTTCTTTAAAACAGGACTTGTACAATCATATAACATACTAAAGGTCCAAAATCTTTTCTAATGATAAGTGCATGAACATGTGCCAGAGGATCATGAATATAAAAACAAGATTTACTACTTACTCAATTCTGGGGTTGGGACAGCTGCAGGTGGTGGTGCAGCAGGTGTTGGAACTAAAGGCTCAGGAGCATCAGCTACAGGCATTGATACAGGCATTACAGGTGCTGATGGAGTTATTAGTACTTCCTCATTCAGGCTATCTATTCCTGGGAAAGATGGGAAAATTTTGAAGCAATGACCAATACAACTGCTTTCACTTAGATTACAAAAAAAAAAAAAAAAAGGAACTACAAACTTCTGGCAAACCAATGTTTAAACTAAATAAATAAATGTAAATAAGGCAACAACAAAATACATAATAACCTGTATATATAACTGATATAAAATCTATTTGGATTGAAATTAAATTCTTCAATTCTAATCTATCTTACCTTTCTCTGGTTGCTGTGGAGCATCAACAAACTCGACTTCCTCTCCTTCTGGTGCAATGTAGACAAAGGCTCCAGATGCTTCCGCTGCTCGCATTTCCTCAATGATATTGCGCTCATGGTTGCCCTATGATATAAAGAGAATTTAAAAATGCAAGAAAAAAATCAGTACTCGAGTATTCCAGGGTTTTCATTAATTGTACTTACTGAATGAGATCATTTACAACTAATCAAGGGTTTTGACAAATTCTTGAGGGAACTGAATAAAGATTCTAAAGACAATTTGGGAAATATTAAGATGGACTTTTAGAACCATTTGGTACAAATAATTACATATAATAAACAAAATATCCAATTATTAGAAAAACAAACAATAGCTGAAAACTTACAGGCACAGAAGCTGCAGACGCTGCTGGGATTGGTTTTGTTGTCTGCTGTAAATACTGCTGAGATTTTACAGCATCTTTAAGCCCAGGGAAAAGATTGTCATATTGTGCAGGGTCAGCTAAACTCTGACCAATCTTCTCTCCTGCAGCGGTTTTCCATAGACCAACAACACGGGACATTTCACCTGGCATGTAAGTTCTGTGAAGCCGTGAATGGTTATTCAAAAGTTATGATACAAAAAAGTGCATATTCAAAATTATGTATACAACACAATTTAACAACACAGGACATTTCACGTGGCATGGAAGTTCTGTGAAGCAGTGAATGGTTATTCAAAAGTTATGATACAACAAAGTGCATATTCAAAATTATGTATACAACATAATGAGTACGCTAACCTTGCGAAGAATGCTGCTTCTGGAATTCGATTGGTCTTGATCAGGAGTTCCAGACAGTCCTTCAAATTGCCCGTCAGGAAGTGGGATAAGAAGGCTACATTATTTCGACCTTGGCTTTCTGCTTCAGTAGCCACTTCCTTGATCAATCCAGCATTACCTTTAAAAACAAATAAAGAACACGACTGTTTGTAGTGTCATCAGAACTATGAGTACATACTCTGCACAGAATATTTCTTGTTTTGCTAATCCACATAAAAAAAATAATGTCACTTACTAATTGTAATACAAGATATTACAATTTACCATTTCATTAGAGAAAACCTCTGAATGTAAATTCATCTTCAAACTGAAGCATTTCATTATTTTAGAAGACTAACCAGAGGCTGTGGCCTGTAGAAGCAATCCAGGGTAATCATGGGCACGGAGGAGGCATGTCTGAGCTGTTTGGAGGTCTCCCTGCTGTTGTGCCAAGTCTGCAACCAGCCGCCACTTGTGCTCAGAACCAGCTTCAACAGCGAGCTGATGACACACCTCTAGTTCACCCAGACTCAGGGCAAGATCAAACCTATTGAGGTAAAAGAAATACTTATTTTCATCAATCCATAAACATTCTTCTCATACCTATAAACTGTAGATAAACTAATTCTATGATCATCACTGACATATCTTCCATAACTTACCTGTGTTCAGGATCTGTGGAAACAGCCAAGGCCTGCTTCTTGAACCCTTGCTTCTCTAAGAAGTGGGCAACTCGAGTGCGATGGGCAGGTGGGATTGTGGGGAGCACACGGTCAGCAGTGTTAAAGTCACGACGCATAACAGCTGTCTGATACTCTAAGACAGACACTAGCAGCTCGTAAGATACCACATTCAGTTCTTTGTCACCCAAGTACAGGCGGTTATCCTTAGGAATGTAACCCAGAAGATACAAAGTCCTGGGAAGTAATTTTCAGTTAGTTTTTTTTTAAAGACAGCTTTAAATTTCACAATAACAATAGAAACTAACTGCAATATCATAAAGTGAAATATCTGAATTTGCTTTGGACCTATTTTAGTATATAGCATGTCTTAATGTGTTCCACAAATCTACTTTCATAGAGCTAGAAACAGAACTAGATTCTGGAGTATGGAAATAAACTCTGATGAATAAGAGGTAAATCAGATTGTACATAGTAACTGGAATTCAGCAGATAATCACAAACATATTTACATTGAAACATTTTACAAAAAGTATATAAACAAAGACTAAAGAATCAATACAATTGATATAAAACTGAGAAAGCAGAAAAAATAACGACTTGCCTGTCCAAATGAGCAATAGTAACAATCTCGCCTCCCACATAATAGTTCAATCTATTCACTGAATTTGTGTAGATGAAGCAATCTCCAACCCACTTGCCAGTCTTGACAACCTCTTGCACCTGTTAAAAGAAAAGCGGGACTTTTGCAAACCTAATAACCAAAAACAAGAGAGAGAGAATCAAACAAACAGAATAACAAGGGGAAAAAAAAGAGGATGAGCTTCATATAAAAACAATAAAACTATTCAATCTTCAATAAATGCACTTCAAAACATCTCAATTTACCTCTCCAACAAGATCAAAAGCATCTTCAATGCCATCCTCAGTAAGACCCTCCTTGGTCTCTCTGGCTTTAGTGACGGCATCAGTACTGTACCTGTGTACATAAACATAAAAATTAATTAGATAATAGAATGAATTGTCTTCGAGCAACAATAAAGTTTTAAATGTCAAAACAAGTAAAACATATACCTTTATATTTTCATCATTTCCTACTATAATGAATATCACAATCTTCATTCTTATAACTATCAATATCTTATATATTTGTATGTTTGTGTGTATATATATCTATTTCTATATTAGCTATACTATATATATACACACACACACATATATAATACATATATATATAATATATACACATATATACACATATATATATGCTAACTATATATATATTATATATATATATATATATATACATATTTATATTAACATATATATATTACATATATACATATAACATATATATACATATAATATATAATAACATATACCATTATATAATACATATATATATAATATACATATTACATTATACATATATAGTATATACTATACTATACATATATATAATACATATAAAATATACATAATATACATATAACACTATATAAATACATATACATTATATATATACAATATACATATATATACATTATAATATATATATATACATATACATATATATACATATACATATATAGTATACATTATACATATAACATATACATATATATATATATATACATATAACATATACCATATACATATACATATATATATATATACATATAATACCACATATACATATACATACATATATATATAACATACACATATACATATATATATATATACATATACATATATATATATATACGGAATTACATATACCATATACTATACATATACATATATATATATAATATACATATACCACTATACATACTATATATACATATACATATATTATAACATATATATATATATATATATATATATATATAGTATATATATATATATATATATATATATATTATGCATATATGTGTAAGTAAAGATATAGGTAGTGGTATACTTGTATAGGTATAGAGGTATATAGGTATTTCATCAATTATATATTTAGGTGTAGGTAATCTAGGAGTAGGTAATATAAGTGTAAATACCAAGGTGTAGATACACAGGTGTAGTTATATAAGTACCCAGTACTATATAGAGTACAGGGTATATGTGTGTGCACGTCTAGAGATATTTCAGTGACCTAACTCGTTAATGTCTTAAACAATGGGTTACAATATATAAAGTAGGTAAGTAAAATCCTCAACAAATCATCTTACTTGAGAATGAAGTAATTCTCATCAGTGGCAATGCACACATAATCTCCATTCTCTGACCAGAAAACCTGCCGTGGCTGAATTTCAATGCGCCTCACCAACTCTTGAGACTCCCAGTCATAGAAGGCAAGTCCTGTTGAACTTGACCTGCATCCAAGGAGATATCCACCAAATATACCTGAGAAAATAATATAAAAGCTTTAAAGCATCAATTTATACATCTGACTGTCCTTAACAATTTCATAAATATTCAGTCAAAAATAATAAGAATGAATTTGAAAACAAAAAAATTTAAATTATGTCATGAACAGGAAATAAGATTCCCCACCCCCCAAAAAAAAGCATAACATATTAAAAACTTTCTTTGGATGTACAGCTGGCATAAATTTGCAGGCTTAAATTCATAAAACGGATTTCTTCTGGTAACACTAGAACATTCAAACTAAAAATTTTAAATAAAAATCATGGGGAAACATTTACATCTTAATATCTAAATCAAATGCTTGATACAGTATATGAAGAAACTGATATTCTCAGTCTAAATTTCCTTATTGAATGCTAATGTCATCACTTTGCTGTATTGCCTATAGCTTATACTACCTAAAGAATAAATGCTTCAATCAAATTTATTTGAAAAATGAAAGAAAATAAAGATAATAAAATAAAAGCAAATAAAAAATATACAATACTACTGCCTGTTGTCTATATATGTCTTTTCATTTGCATATAATTTACTGATACTTGTTTTGACATGATAGTTCGCAATTTGGAAGAACAAAAAAAAAAGTATGCTCCTTTGTTCTCCCTTGTTCAGTTATGAAGCATCTGCGTAACATACATTATCAAGCTATATGTAACTTGGACATAATTGGGCACCGTCAACATTTTTGAAGAAAACAGCTGAAATCCTCCCAACAAAACAAAAAAGCAAAGGAAATTTGTTTAGACCTTTTGTTAACATTGTCTATTTATATAAAAAGTATATAGCATTATATCCTAATGTATTACAATGTTACCAGATAAAATTCCAGATGGATAATATCAGGGAGGCCAAAAACTTTCTTGGCCACCTGTATATGCTTAGAGTTACAGTAATTACCTTCACAACCGAAGTCTGGCTTGAAAGATTTCTTTTCCTTGAAGTTTTTGAATAGCTTCACATTGAAGTTAGATTCACGGATGGCATACTCTGAGGAGTCCAAAGCCCAAACAAACTCCAGAGCTGGACCAAATGCTTTGTTACGCAATGCCATGGCAGTGTAAATGATGTATTCTCCATCACCACAAACAACTACAAACCTGAAGTATAAAATCAGAATTCAGTCCCCATCTACTGCACTAGACTACTGTGAACAATCACTTATAATCATAAGACTTCTGTAGCACAGATCTGTATTCAGCAAGTTACACACATCTTTGCAGAGATGTGCATTTTTACCAAAAATTGTCATTCTAACTTTAACTAGCAAAGCATGATTAAACTGGTGGTGGACATTCTCTGGCAAAAGGGGTATATGCCAGGCATTTTTTCCAAATGTCTTTCTTCAACAGGGGTTCTAATAATCAAATTTGAAGAATTTCTACAAGACAAAAAAGTGTGAACATTTCAAACTCAATAATAAGCTGCCTCCTTCACACTTAACATCTGGAATTCCTTAGAGTCACCATAGCTAGGAACAACAATCAGGAAGTCTTTTTTTTATAATACATATAAAAATGTATTTCCCAAATAATTGCTGACTAACTGTATCATTTCATATTAATTGCATATATATAGAATAAACAAAGAAATTCAGATATATAGAGTTTAACTGATTACTCAGTTTCTGTAATTCCCTACCTTCCATTGGGGTTATGTGCAATAGTCTGTGGATAGATGTCACATGCTCCAAGATCCTTGACAGCCAAAGGTAGTCTTTCTCCATCCTGAATTTCAGCGTCACCCATAGCTTTCAGATTGGCCTGCTGAATTTCAGAATGTCTGGCCCACACAATCTTGCCACTAACATCCATCGACATGGCTGGCTCCTCACGACCAAGCTAGGAAGAAAGGCTTAATTGATCTACTTGTGCTGTCAGTCATTTAATCTAAATAATTAAATCATATTGGGAATGAAAAAGGGATACATTCTATTAAAAAATTATATTCAGAGACACTTTAGACTCCTTTTCCAGTGATGCTAAAGAACTATGGACCTCCACCAGAGTGGCAGTGGAGTCCAGTGAGATGCAGGAATTTTGGATCCAGCTATTCATGAGGCAATAGAAGCTCTTCACAAAAGGTGTCCAAAGTGTCTCTGAATATGAGTGTTTAACATATCTACTTTAAATCTAACACTTACACCAAACAGTCTCTGATCACTATCATCTAAATCTGAAGTCAGCCTTTAACCATTACACAAACATATTAACTCTTATAATAGGCTTCCTATCATGATGAACAATCTCTTAGAATAGATGCATATCTCACCTTGACCATGACACTGCCTTCATCATAGCCAAAGCAGACATTGTTGGAGCCCTTGAGAGCTGATATACACCACACTCTATCAAGACCATAGTTGAGTGTGTTCTCCAGACGGTAAGTGTTAGCATGCCAGACCCTCACAGTGCAGTCCTCAGAGCCAGTCAGGATGATTGGTAGCTCCGGGTGGAATGATACTGGAGGAGACAGTTTGAATCTCTTAATATAATTTGTTTTATGACACTTCATTTTTAAGGGATTTTATTTTTTTTGTATGAATCAAAAAGATCCAAACATATATGACTCAGGAAAGAAAAATTCAGACCTGTCAGACCTAATTTTTAGCCAATACAATGTTCTACCTAGTTACTAGGGAAAACATACCTGAGGAAACATTTTGTGAGTGTCCTTCCAGGGTTTGCACACATGTTTTGTTTTGATAATCCCAAATCTTGACCAGACTATCATCAGCCCCTGAAATCAAGTATGGCTTGTCTCCACCATGGTAGTAATCCACACAATTAACTCCACGCTGATGACCCTCAAGAGTAAAGTTCGGCTGTGGAGAACCAAGCTGCCATACCTGTATTTAAAAAATAATTATTCAGAAATGTTACTTGAATTATATTTTCCAACCTCAGGATTGGCTTGGCATGAATTCCTACCAAGTAGCTAAGTAACACCATATATATCTATTAATCAATTACATATGAAAATATGTAGATACAAGAAATTAAAAACAATAAATATACTTGTACCAAGGTTCCAATTAGCCTGGTTAACAGACCACAGTAAATTACAAAACGGGAAACAAAACTTTTCCTTAAAAAAAATTGAGGATATCTTGCTAGACTGCATTTCAATCATAAATTACCATAACTACACTCTACCCTAGACATACTATTCCTAATTAATGTCATGTAGCAAACCTTAAACTGTTCCAATAACTTCCAAGTATCAAAGGCATATGGAAATCTTGCCAGTCTTGTAATAATTCTATGAATACAAGCAGACCAAATATGATTTTCTTTCATAAGCATTAACCCAATAACAACGGGTGTCCCACATATGAGACACCCGAAAAAATAAACATTGCCGGGCGTCCCGCCAGTGTGACGCTGTATCGGGGCTCACGCCCCAACGCAGCAGCGGGCCGCAGCCGGCAGGCAGACAGACTCCGGGGAAGCTCCGCCTACCGATTTTGTAACCGCCCGGAATCTTTTATTTTTGGCTTCAAAATATACAGGCGTTAATGGATTAAACATTGTAACTAGAAAGTTATCATCACCTTCACAGTACGATCAAGAGAAGCAGAAGCGAAAGTGTTGTTATCCTTTGGATTGATGACAATCTGCATTACATAGTGCGAGTGTCCCTCGAAAACTTGTTGGCAGGACCATTTCTTATCCCAGTTCCAAAGTTTGATTGTCATATCATCTATTAAAGAAAAACATTTATCAATTTCAGAATACATGAGCTACAGATGTACAGTAATACACATATATCTACATACACTATATAAACACAGCTCATAAGGCAAATTTAGTTATACTCACCACTGCACGTAAGAATGAATGGCTGAGTTGGGTGTACAGCAATACACCTCACATAATCTGAGTGGGCTTCAAACTGGTGAGCACGCTCTAATGTATTATAATTATAAACACGAACTTGCATGTCATCTGAGCCTGTGACAACCCAATTTTTGCGGGCCACAAACCTTGCTGCTCTTACAGGAAGATCACATACCTGTAAATAGCAAGACAATTATATCTTAATGGTAACAATGATTTATGGGTATCATGATAATCACAGATAAGAAATTTGACAAATGAGACTAAAACATACGTCACTTAAGGGAAAATCTAACGGTTATAATGTAGCCAAATATATCTTTTCTAATCTGAAACTAAAAACATTGGCATATACAGAACTACAAACAGTTTCATCACAACTAAGAGCACTTACTTCAAAGCTCTTTACCAACTGCTGGCTCTCAATATTCCATACATGAACATTGCCATTGTAAAGAGATGCAAGCATCCATGGTTCAGTAGGGTGAAGATCAACTGATTTAACACGATCAGATCGAGCAGTTAATTTCCGCTTTACATCCAGTCGCAGCGGCTGAAATGGAAGAAATGTATTATTAATTTTTCATATTTAGTAATAATGCGAAGTTATAAAATTCAACATTTCCATATTTCAACTGGTACTCTTATACATACAAATAATATACAAATACAAAATGTGAAATCATAAATAATTGTATCAACAACTGCTTCAAGCCCAATTATGCAGGAATAATTGTCATGCTACTAATAACAACATGCAGAACGAATTTTAGATGTAAAAAAATGTATATAAAACACACAACTGTATCCAAGGAAAGATATTCAAATATAAGATGATTTCTGGAAATAAGAATAATAAGAAATAAAACAATAAAGCAAAGCTTTAGAATGGCCAAAGCATCAAATACACAAAAAGTGCTTTCCATTTAAAAAAAATAAAAATAAACAAAAAGCCAAAGCTAAAAACATTAAAAACCATTCTTATCAAATTCCATGAAAGGTTTTTTATTCAGCAATTTAGTCACTATTATCTTTTTTTTCATTACATGATAATCACTGTTACGCGCAAATCAATTTAAAACTGCCTCAAATTGAGTCTTCATTAAATAAGTAACAAGGACATCATGCAGCTGATCCACAAATTTCTGAGAAGAAAATTCAAAACTCCCTAAAGGGGTAGCTGATAAAAATAATTTTAAAAACTCCCCGAAAACAGTAATGTTTGGAGGTGCTTTAAACCATGTGGAAGGACATAGGTTCAAAATAAATTTGCCTGCCAGTACTAATCCATTAGTCCACCATTCAGGTAGAAAAGGGTAAAGATTATGAGGGAGCTTCAAACACCACCTTTACTCAAATCCACTTGTCATCAGCAAGTGATAATGAAAACACATCACATAAGATTGAATTGTCTTGGTTACCTTACTGAGGCAGAAAGAGGTTGAACTGTGTTTGGACCTTTGTTTTCCTTCAAATTTACTTTCACTTTGAAAACTTCCGAGAATCGTCTGGATGAAGTAATTCTGTACGAACACAAAGTTCACAATGGACTAACAGGATTTTTCTATCAAAAACATTTAGTTTTAATGAACAAATTCATCCACTGCAGTAAGTAACTACTTTCTTGGCAAGATAGCCATAAAAATGTCGAATGAGTGTTTAAAATATTTTCCAAAAGCAAGAATCCTTATATCATAAACTTTGTTAATAATTCAAATCTTTATTGTAAACTTGGTTAATAATTCAAATCTTAACTATAACCTAAGTTAATAAACTCAGTTTGTGACTCATCTGTTATTCTTTATATCTTTATTTTTACAAAAAATCTCCTTTCCAATAAATCTTGCATGAACTCTTTAAATTGTCAAAGTGGATAAGAGTTCCCTAATAGAAAGTTACAGATCAGGCAAAAGAATGACTAACAATTTTACTAATCTAAAAATAAAATATAAAAAATTGGAAATTGCATCACAATGAAAAAGTTTAACACGTCTGCTAAGTACATATAAAAAATCAGGTGATATCTGCTGTCACAAGCCTAAACAAAAGTGTGACCACTCACAATGTTACATAACTGTCACACATTGTCACATAAACAAGCCCAGGATAATACCTAGTGTAGTAACCTAACTTACATATAGCATAATGTAATATCAAGTTACAACATCTCTTAATAAAAGCTTAAAAAAATATAGCAATACTGCCACACCAGGACACATACATAAATCCTATAAGCCCACTTTATGGTATTGAAGATCAGTTCAGAATAGATCAAATATTTATTAAGCATGCTTTTATAGCATTCAATCACAGGCATTTTATATTAGTTTCAGTCCGGGTTCATCCTTAACAATAACACAGAAAGACAACAAATCTCCAATGGATATTCCAGAATCAAAAACAGAGAAAGCACTATAATGTGTGATATCCAGTAACAATATTATTATCAACAAATAATCTACTAACTCTGCGTCAACATATGATGTTTCTACTTTTAGGCATGTAAATTTTAATAGCTGGTGATTATGATGCACACAAATAAATAATTTAATAGGTATTCGGGATTAGCAAATGGGTTAATGAATGGCTAGACAGTACTAAGAGGGGACATTTTAACATTTCTGAATTTTATGCGCATATTTGAGTAGAAGAGATCATAATAATTTTCTACTGACTACCTACTGCTAAGAAATTAATGGATGACTGGGGAACCTTGGAAAAGACTATAGGCAAATATGTTGCCATTCTCTGATGGCTTCCACTATTCATGATGAAATGATTACAAGTATCTGACACTGGTTACAGGTTGGTGATGGTATGGATGTATCCTCTCAACCCAGTGCACCTACAATTTTGCCAATGGGAATATGTGAAAAATAAAATAATATTTATACAGTCTACTTTTCAGGATCAGATTTCTATACAACTTTTGGAAATTTATGTTCCTATTCCATATTCCAAGTTTATAAATGTACTTGGTATGAAATGCTCAAATGAAACTATAAAACATTATTAGCCAGAATTTAAACTCCCAGGAATAATAATCCCCATACAATTAAATTAAATATTATATTTGCCATTAAATATGTAATGTACTGTTTATTCAACCCTCCTAAATCAAAACAAAGTACACAAATTTTCAAGATCAAACAAACTGAGGAATAAACAAAAAGTATGTTCAATATCTTAAAGTCTTCCAGTAATACCTTTTTCATCTAAAACCAATTCTGAGTTACCTTCAATAAAAAAAATATATATATACTATTCTGGACAATAACTTTACCATTTTACTTGACTTGATTTAATTTGGAAGCGTCTCCAATTCAATAGGAAATGTACAGTTTCAACTAGAAGTGTTTGATTACTCTGTTTTCTTGGCCATGATCTTTACCATAATGCATAATTAATCAAATGGATTTGTAAGTTATGTCTGCACCATTAGTTTACAGTGTCTGAAATTATCATGTACTTTTAATTGCAAGTCCCTTGATGGTAGACCAGACCATGAGCTCCTTGCAACTGCCTGTCATGCTAGATTTATTTAACCCCGAAAAGATGCTCAATCAAGTGTTTCTGATGCCTGATCTTGAATCAATTAAGAACAGCCTGTCAAAAATTGAAAGGCTGTTTTCCAGCAGTTTCTTCACTGTCAAAAGGAAGTCAAAAGTGTTCAGTAACATTTCAGCAAACTTTAACTAGCAATACCCATAGGTATAGTTTACTTATAGCGAAACACAGATATAAAGGGAAATGGACACCGCTATCTTATAGAGCATAAGAAATATGAGTCAAAAACAACATAATAATTTTAAGCTGCACCGGCCTAAGAGTCACTACTAAATGTTGAAAATATACCTTGCATATCACTGCTCAGAGTTTTAAGTCGCTCATCTTGTTTATCTTGCC